AGTAAACATTAGTGCCTGAGAGGGCTGCTGCATATTGTGTACATCAATGAAAACATGACAGTGTCAGCTGTTTTTATGTCTATGGAAAACAAATAGTGACAGATGGATTAGACTGTGAACATGAATCAGATTATCCTACAGCACAAAGCCATTTTGAGACATTCTTTGCCACATAAAGGAACATTACAGGCATGTACATGCATAGGTAATGCATTTTCCACCAGTTTAAAATAGGCAGCCCCCATGTTTGCATGTTTGTGTGTGTGTGTGTGTGTGTGTGTGTGTGTGTGTGCGCGCATGCGCGTGTATGTATGTACAATATTTGTGTTGGTTGGGTTCAACTTCTGTCCTAACAAAACTTCAGAAAAAGACCCTAGCAGTAACCTTTCTCGTATATTCGCCTGATCCTAATTGGTACAGACATGTGGAATCCTTACTGTTGTGTACCGAGAGATGGGACCACAAAGCTGTGAGTGCCAGTAGCTACTGATTCATATCCTTCTTTTTTTTTTTTTATGCAGGTAAAAAAATGTGCATTTATTATTTTTTTTTCAGTGCATCCTTTAAAGTGGTTCTGAAGGCTCAAGGTTATTTCACCTTCATGTATTCTATGCAGCAGCCCCCTCCCCCCACCTTTCCTTTCCTGAGCCCCCTCCGATCCAGTAACGTTCTTGACAGCCTCTGCTGTCTGGGAACTCTTCCTCCTCATTGACTGAGACAGCAACGGGAGCACATTGGCTCCCACTGCTGCCAGTTATAGCCAGTGAGCCAATGATGAGTGAGTGGGGGGGGGGGTGTCGTTGCTCAGCCCTGTGTGTCTTATGGATGCATAGAGCAGTGGCTCGGGGACGAGCACACAGCAATGCCCCCAGGGCAAGCAGCATTACCTGGGGACACTGTTCAAGGGGGAGGAGCCCAAAGCGCTGGCGGGGACCCAAAAAGAAGAGGATGGGGGCTGCTCTTTGCAAAATCACTGTACAGAGCAGGTATGTATAGACATGTTTGTTTATAAAAGCTTTAGTGTCTCACTTTAAAGCATTGCACCCATGATCAGCAGATCATGTGTGCAAAGCCAGGATCCTGCAGACTCCCAGTTAGTTGTCTGCCCGTACCTCCGATACAAGCAGGCAGGTACTAAATACCAGGAATAATAAATGGACTACGAGAGCGATAACCAGCGCCCTCGCAGTTCATTGATAACTACAAGCCATCAGCCACAATGGCTGACAGTACTTGTAGTCTAATTCATTCACAGGAAACTGTGAATGAATGAGGCAGCCTTGTGGGTTGTTTTCACATTGTTACAACTGGTGTGGGGAGAAGATCCCCTGCCTGCTGTCAAAAAGTGGGTGGCGGAAGGTGGCTGCATAGGAGCATATTATACCAGAAGTACGGGTGTAACATATAACATGCTTCTAAAGGTGAAATTATCCTTTAAACAACCTCATCAAACAATTAGCAGTATCCCTCATATAATCAATTACACATCAGAAAGAAATAGATTAAGCCTTGCTCTGCTTACAGTCTGTCAGTGGGCTAATAGATGTACCAACTGTGGTTGCCTGGGCCCACTGGGATATGTCTCATTCTCTCTTGGTGAACACCACCTCAACATCCTTTGGACACAGGCTCTTCCACTGAATCCTTTTGCCCTAATGTAGGGCTTAATCCTTGAGTTCTTGTATCTTCTGTTCCCATGTCTATAGTAAGTGCTAATCCTTTTCATCAAACCACCTAGCAACGAGGTGGAGTATGTGTGTGTTTGTGTACATTTTGGAGGTGAGGTAGAAATTTAGATAGGAGTTGAGTATAATTATCTGCCAAGCCTACGAATATACTTTGCACTTGTGTGGAAGCTGAAGGCTGAGCCTCCCCAAAGGTGGAAGAATAGGGCTGTATTGTTCTCTGGTAGTACTTCTACTTTGTCCGACCTTGTATAGTGCAAGTGGGACCCGTAAGTGAGATCATCCTGTCTTCGAGCATTGTACTCATTTTTGTGTTTGTGTGCAGAGGGCAGTATAGTAACTCATGGCAATCTATCAGCTGTTAATTTTCACAGGCTGACTTTCACAGCCCAACTCCGGGCAACTATAAAATGATCCCTTGTGGTGGGGCTGCATTTGCACTGCAAGGGTTAATAGCTCATTTTGTTTAGGGGAGAGGAGAAACCATTTTACTTGATCCTCTGCTCCCCCGGCAGCTGGCAGCCCCCCCACGATCAAGTGGTGAACTGTCCCTCAGTGTCATTGTGCCCAATGTAGGGCTACAGACCCTGCTTTGGTCTTAATGACGTCAGGACTCTAGACCACCAGAGCATGGGAGGAGAAAAAGGACCAAGCGATAAGGAAAGCCTACTTTTTTTTTTTTTTTTTTTTTTTTTTTTTTTTTTTCTTCCAGACCAAAATGAGCAATTAACCACTGGTAGTGCAAGCACAACCCCACTGCAAGGGATAGTTTCTTAGTTGTCCTGAGTTGGGCTTTAACTATCGGGAATGTTTATCATCGCTTTTGTATAGCACCCACAATGTATGTATCACTTTACATACCATTCATGCACATGAGTCCCTGCTCAAGGAGCTTACAACCCAAGGACTCTAAATTTGCCCCATCATATGCCTATGAAGTAGACAGGAGCCATCTATCCCACTGGCATGTCTTGGAGTGTGCTAGGAAACCGGCACAAGCACCAAGCCGTGGTGCTGCTCATACTGGTTGCTAAGGCTGATGGCAGCAATTATTATATCATCATGTAAACAATCCCTTTGTGTTTTCATAAATGATCCCTACAGTGTGCATGCCACACTTGGTCACGGAGCAGTTAACAGATTTTTCAGCAGCTGCTAAGTTATGGTAATGCATTGACATTTTTTTTCATGCAAATTTCTGGGGCATGCATTCACTTGAACGTCTGGAAGAGAAGATTTATCTTCTCATAATGAGTGAAAATTGAAATTCATATTATGGCATTCACCCTCCCTTTCTTCTGTGTTATTTTATTTATTTTTTGTTTGATTATTTTCCCTCCAAGTGTAATTTTTCATGGCGCGCTCTGGCAGCTCCCCATTTATAATACAGGTCCTCGCAGACTAGACAAAATATTATCATTTTCCAGTACAGTCAGCCAGACATGTGTGTTTTAGTGGGCACTCCTCCGAGCCCATTGCATTTTGTTACAGATAACTGGCTGCCAAGTGCATAATGGTTCAGTGGCTATTGAAAAGCCCACAGCTCAGCTCGGCATAAAATTAATGACATGATTTCCTGGCAGATAAAAGAAACTAAAAACGCTCCAGTCAGAATACAAAATTTAGTAATTTGATGTGTGGAGACCAGTTTGCCAGCATCTGCTACCTTGGTTGGAATGTCTGTTTGTCAGATAATACTCTTTCATCCCGGGACAGCCTGCAGCAGCTACAATCTCCTGTCATCTTGCGTTGGTGAATTGCAGTTTGTAAAATATCAGGTGTGCATAACCTGATATATGATGTTATTAAAAGTGCTAGTGCCTTTTTCCCTTAGGTTTTTCTTTACTGACCTGTTAAATGTTTTACATTGTAGGCAGCTCCTAAATCCATTGGTCTAATTTTTATGAGGAATAATGTGGAGGAGGATGGTTGTATTACTCTTGGCAACCAGTAAGCACTGTGTAGGTCTAAAATGTGTGCAAAACATAAAGTAACCCTGAACTTGGTCCATTCAGCGCAAAGTAATTCAGGCTTGCTTTATAGCATTGAGAACTTACCTGTAGTACCTCTCCTATGCTCTGCTTCTCCCTGTATGCCCTCTGGAGCCATCAGGTCAGACTGGTGGCTAATCAAGGCACCACATCCCTGTCCATATAGGAGAAACCAGAAATAACAGGTATGGAGGCACACATGACTCTCTCCCCTGCCTCACCACAGTGCAGTGCACATTGCCAGGTCAGAGTGCTATTAGGTGTGGGTGCCTGGTCATTAGACCTATGCCTCTGCTCTAGAGTTGAAACTTAAAGGCTGATATAAAATACACAAATTCATCTAGCTGTGTGTACAATAATACAACGTAATGTAGCTTTTTTTTGAAAGCAAGAAGTGTAAGTACCCAAATTGTAGTCAGTATTGGCCTCTTGTAGACCCTGTACAGCAGAACACAGAAAGGGAGAAGCAGCAAAATTAGTTAGTTTTACCACATGGCAAATAGCATGCTGACATGAGGAGAGAGCAGAGTGACAGACAAGCTCATCAGTGTTCTGTTTCCCCTTTTACTGGTCATTCATATGGTGGGGGTAGGGAGGAGACTTGTAAGGTTGATTTGATTTGTGGGGGCTCAGTCAGTGAAAGGCAGAGAACAGGGCGAATAGGGAACATATATTTACTTTCTGTGTACTAATATCCCAAAAAAACAATATTTATTATATCCTCATGACTGTCAATGAAATGTACAGATCTTTTCATAAAGATCGTGGCGAAGAAGTTAGGCGTAGACACATGGCCTTATTCAGTAAAAATGTCTTATTCCTATGGCCTGTTTTGTTAAGTAGCAGGACAGGTTAACAAACAGACATTTAATCCTTCCCTGCTCTTTTCTTCATATGGCTTTGCATGTAGCGATGTGCACAATGAAAAAATAACTTGTTTTGGATTAATTTATTAAGCAAATCATTTTTTTTTTGTCATTTACTATGTGAAAAATTTAATTGTTTTGTATATTCGGATTCATTCTGTATATATGTTATTTCTGAATCAATTTGCTTCTTCAGCCCTGGTATGGATTTTAAGCGGGGCCCCACTCCAAAAAAAATAAAAATGCATGCCCCCCCTCCCATTCCCAAAATCCATACCAGGTTGTTAGGTCTGGTATGGATTTTGAAGGGAACCCCACGCCAAATTTTTAAAAAAATTGCCTGGGGTCCCCCCTCAAAATCCATACCAGACCCTTATGACGTCATGACTGGAGGGGGATGGGGGGTCTCCGAGTGATGAGTCTGCTGCTAACATCAGATGAGTCATGGTTAAGGACGCTCTGGCCGGCCGGCTGCTCTTTAACAACCAACTATTAATCAACCAATTTGGATAATTCATTATTTTGGATGCTTCGAGCATCCTTGTTTCCGTATTCAGATCCATTGAAATTTGTTACGGTTATTCAGAGACTTGGATGTATCCGAATCTCTGAATAATGAAAATTTTGTCTGAATTTCGAACAAAGCGACTCACATATGTCTATTTGCTTATCTTGTAAATTAAATTGCACTGTAAATATCCATTTTTTTTTTTTTTAGTAGCTTTTCATTGTAGTCATGTTACCACAAAGCTCTGGCTCCTATCTGTAATGCTAAGGCCTGGCAACAGGGATACATTGAATACTGCAATGATGTAGCTGTTTTCAGAGGGTGAAAGTATCTTTCCACCAATCGCACCAGAAGGCGGGAGAGAACAGAGCTTTGGCGTCACGTGACATCTGACGTTAGCAGAGTACATTACAGCTTGTTGGAAGTGACCTGTATTGCATTTCCCATTGCAAGGGTAAGAGGTAAAATATTCAGCGATATCAGTAGTTCTCATTTAGGCCAACATCCTGTTTACTAATGAGTTACAATGGAGCCCTCTGATTTTCCAATCCACCATAGAGAATAACAGCTGCAGTCTGATATTTTTGCCTTTTGCATTTGTTTATTTTTTTGTGCAGCCGTTACAAAATATTAACTTTCAAATGTATTCATTGGACTGCACACTAACCTATTTTATGTGATCCTACTGCCCTGACCTGTTATCTGCTAAAACTGATAAAGAGCTGATGTACATGGTACTTCTCCTTTGAAATCTTCTTATCTGTTGTTAAAATGGTTAAATATGAGCCTTGTTTGTATTTGTAAAAGTTCTTATCTGTGAAGCGGTAATGTATTTCTGACAGTTCAGCTTCAGTAATTTACACATACTGAGAAAATACTGTTTAGCCTTCTGCTTTCTCAATGGCAACTAGGAATGGACAACTTGAAATCATTTCTGCTTTGCCAGTGGAAGAACTTGCCCCTAGCTCATTAAAGGGAGAATGTAGTATTTTCAACAGTCCACAAAGGAACAGAGTGCAGTCAATCCCAGTTTTTTCTGTTGCCTTGTTCAAAGACCACCAAGTCTTTAGGCTTACACAGTCATTTTCTCCATAAAGTGATCTACATAGCAGAATTCACTCTCAAAAATTCAGTAAAGCTTTTTTAGTAGACCCATTTTAAGGCAGTATAACATGTCATGCTTTGAGATGCTTATACTACGTTTAAAAAAAGAGCCTGTGATAGCTTGAAGTATTGCTGTTTTGGAGGTTTTTTTTCATTTAATACTACCCTATGATGGATCTAATAAAAGGACATTTTGGAGCACTTTTGAACCACATTCGTCAAGTTATTTATTTATTTTTACAAATGTTCATTCAAAAATCTACTAGCGTATGGCCAGTTTGTTACCAGTTTATGTCTCAGCAGCAGGATTTCGTTACCTCTGCGCATGTGTACACAAAATATGAACTGTCCGTGGTGCTGGAAGACTTTCTAGAGAGCTTTTCTATAGTTTATTGCCTGCCATACTCAACATACTGTGTGGATTATGGGGCAGGGATTCAATCTAGTACACAGGCAGTTTGATAAAGTGGAACATACATTTTAATTGGAATATAAAACCTGTTCTGCAAATATTTCATATTTTTTTTTTTTTTTTTGCTTGGACACTAGCTATTCAAAGCTTGGCTGGAAAGTGAGAAGTTTACTATTCTTATGGTCTTGTGTGTCTTTTTCTAGTGTGTTCCTGGATGATTTCCTGGCAACTGGAAAAGTTGGGGACCAGGCCCACAGCTGGAGTTTGAGCAGCTACCCTTCAATCACCCCCTGTATATTATGTACTCGTCTGGTACTACTGGAGCCCCAAAATGTATGGTGCATTCTGCTGGAGTAAGTATTGCCCACAACAACTGGGGACAAGCAATTCAAAGTAAATCCTTCAAAAATTATCACCTACAACTATATGTGCTTGTAGTTTTTTTTTGTATTAACATCATCAGATTTTTTTTCCTACTCAGATTAGAGAAATTTTATGTTTTTTTCAAATCTAGATTGATTTACAATTATATTTTATAAGTAGCCTTCTAAATAGCAACATCTTTATTTAGATAATTTTGTCATGATTTTCAGTCACATGGAATTATACTATACATCTTCATCTTTTATGCTGTTTGTAATGTATTTAGCATCACATTATTTACACAAGGCCGATTAAACCCCCTGTACAAGAATTTATTCAAGGGCTGAGATTCTACTCAATTTTTCTATACCTTGTTCATTCACATTTGACAGTATCATAGTTCATCTTCTCACATTTATGGGCATCCCTAGGCATGAAGGCACAATACTGTCATAAGCAAATCTAAGTCCCAGTTCAAACCTCTGCAATTTGTCACACTTCACTATTGCTTGCCAATGCATGATAAGAATTGCATTATTGAGAAAAGGGATTTCATCCTGAAATGCATAGCCACACACCTTTTAAGTGTGACGTCATCATGGCCGCTGGTCGCTTCATTGTAGTCCTCAGCAGCTGCTTCCTGAGTCTGTACAGCTTATTCAAGCTGGTTCTTGTCTCTACTTGCTGTTTCCTTTGTCGTATGGCCACTAGAGGAGCTTGCACTGACATTCTACACTTGTGTGTTGAGGTCTATGTGGACCTATCACTGCTGGTACAGTTTTATTACGCCAGCCTTTCAATTCATATGCGAGTGTATCACTGTTTACCTTTCTATATGATGATTTAATAGGTGCTGAGAGTGGTGCTTTTCTGTCCTTTTTTACATCCATGCTCATTGACGAGACCCAGGAGAGTGCCCCCTATCAGATATATTGCTGAGTATTTATATGCCGTATCAATCTGCATTTATGAGTACAATCAGTTATATTTGCCCGTGTGTTGTCATGCATACTGCACTCAGACAGTGGCGCTTTTCTTTCTCTTCTTTTTTTATTTTACTTGAACATTGGTGGGAAGTACTGAACCTCAGACCCTACCTGCAGGAGAGACCACAGACTCTGCTGAAGTGTAATTTATTTTTTGGACCTCTATATCTCTATATATATATATATATATATATATATATATATATATATATACAGTCAGGTCCATAAATATTGGGACATCAACACAATTCTAACATTTTTGGCTTTATACACCACCACAATGGATTTGAAATGAAACAAACAAGATGTGCTTTAACTGCAGACTGTCAGCTTTAATTTGAGGGTATTTACATCCAAATTAGGTGAACGGTGTAGGAATTACAACAGTTTGCATATGTGCCTCTCACTTTTATAAGGGACCAAAAGTAATGAGACAATTGGCTTATTAGCTGTTCCATGGCCAGGTGTGTGTTATTCCCTCATTATCCCAATTACAATGAGCAGATAAAAGGTCCAGAGTTCATTTCAAGTGTGCTATTTGCATTTGGAATCTGTTGCTGTCAACTCTCAAGATGAGATCCAAAGAGCTGTCACTATCAGTGAAGCAAGCCATCATTAGGCTGAAAAAACAAAACAAACCCATCAGAGAGATAGCAAAAACATTAGGCATGGCCAAAACAACTGTTTGGAACATTCTTAAAAAGAAGGAACGCACCGGTGAGCTCAGCAACACCAAAAAACCTGGAAGACCACGGAAAACAACTGTGGTGGATGACCAAAGAATTCTTTCCCTGGTGAAGAAAACACCCTTCACAACAGTTGGCCAGATCAAGAACACTCTCCAGGAGGTAGGTGTATATGTGTCAAAGTCAACAATCAAGAGAAGCCTTCACCAGAGTGAATACAGAGGGTTCACCACAAGATGGAAACCATTGGTGAGCCTCAAAAACAGGAAGGCCAGATTAGAGTTTACCAAACGACATGTAAAAAAGCCTTCACAGTTCTGGAACAACATCCTATGGACAGATGAGACCAAGATCAACTTGTACCAGCGTGATGGGAAGAGAAGAGTACGGAGAAGGAAAGGAACTGCTCATGATCCTAAGCATACCACTTCATCAGTGAAGCATGGTGGTGGTAGTGTCATGGCGTGGGCATGTATGGCTGCCAATGGGACTGGTTCTCTTGTATTTATTGATGACTGTGACAGCTGACAAAAGCAGCAGGAATGAATTCTGAAGTGTTTCGGGCAATATTATCTACTCATATTCAGCCAAATGCTTCACAACTCATTGGACGCGCACTTCACAGTGCAGATGGACAATGACCCAAAGCAGACTGCAAAAGCAAACTAAGAGTTTTTAAGGGAAAGAAGTGGAATGTTATGCAATGGCCAAGTCAGTCCACCTGACCTGAATCCGATTGAGCATGCATTTACTTGCTGAAGACAAAACTGAAGGGAAAATGCCCCAAGAACAAGCAGGAACTGAAGACAGTTGCAGTAGAGGCCTGGCAGAGCATCACCAGGGATGAAACCCAGCGTCTGGTGATGTCTATGCGTTCCACACTTCAGGCTGTAATTGACTGCAAAGGATTTGCAACTAAGTATTAAAAAGTGAAAGTTTGATTTATGATTATTATTCTGTCCCATTACTTTTGGTCCCTTGTCAAGTGGGAGGCACATATGAAAGTGTTGTCATTCCTACACTGTTCACCTGATTTGGATGTAAATACCCTCAAATTAAAGCTGACAGTCTGCAGTTAAAGCACATCTTGTTTGTTTCATTTCAAATCCATTGTGGTGGTGTATAGAGCCAAAAATGTTAGAATTGTGTCGATGTCCCAATATTTATGGACCTGACTGTATATATGTGTATAATGTGTGTGTGTGTGTAGTATATATATATATATATATAAATATAATATATATATATATATACAGTTGTGTCCAAAATTATTCAACCCCCACTTGAAATTGAGTGTTTTTGGCCAGTTTGACATTGCTTTTGATCATTCAGTCATCTTGCTTACATTTACATTAAAGAGGCACTTGTAGGTCAGACAAATATAACATAACAGTTTATTAATGAAATAACCACAAATGTCTTTTCTGTGCTCACAGCATTATCAGTTTTTATTCAACCCCCAAGTGACATTCAATCTTGTACTTAGTACAGCATCCTTTTACAGTTATAACAGCTTTTAAACGTGAAGCATAGCTTGACACAAGTGTCTTGCAGCGATCTACGGGTATCTTCGCCCATTTTTCATGGGCAAAGGCCTTCCAGTTCAGTCACATTCTTAGGCTTGCGCACTGCAACTGCTTGTTTAAGTCCCACCAGAGGTTCTCAATCGGATTTAAGTCTGGTGACTGCGATGGCCACTCCAAAATGTTCCAGCCTTTCCTCTGCAACCATGCTCTAGTGGACTTGGAGGTATGCTTGGGATCATTGTCCTGTTGAAAGGTCCAACGTCTCCCAAGCCTCAGGTGTGTGACGGACTGCATCACGTTTCCATCCAATATCTCCTGGTACTGAAGAGAATTCATGGTACCTTGCACACGCTGAAGCTTCCCTGTACCTGCAGAAGCAGAAAAAACAGCCCCAAAGCATGATTGACCCTCCACCATGCTTCACAGTAGGCAAGGTGTTTTCTTTTCATAGGCCTTGTTCTTCCTCCTCCAAACATAGCGTTGATCCATGGGCCCAAACAGTTCTAATTTTGTTTCATCAGTCCACAGAACACTATCCCACAACTTTTGTGGTTTGTCCACATGGCTTTTGGCATACTGCAGTCGACTCTTCTTATTCTTTGGAGACAGCAAGGGGGTACGCCTGGGAGTTCTGGCACGGAGGCCTTCATTACGCAGTGTGCGTCTTATTGTCTGGGCTGAAACTTCTGTACCCACATCTGACAAATCTTTTCTCAGTTCCTCAGCAGTCACACGGGGACTTCTCTCCACTCTACGCTTCAGGTAGCGCACAGCAGTCGAAGTCAGCATCTTCTTTCTGCCACGACCAGGTAGCGTTTCAACAGTGCCCTTTGCCTTGAATTTGCGAATGATGCTTCCTAAGGTGTCTCTTGGTATGTTTAACATCTTTGCAATCTTCTTATAGCCATTGCCCTTCCTGTGAAGAGAAATCACCTCTTCTCTTGTCTTCCTGGACCATTCTCTTGCCTTCACCATGTTTGTAACCACACCAGTAAATGTCTAGAAGGAGCTGAGTATCACAGTCATTTTAAAGCTGCCTAATTGGTGCTTATTATGCTTGATTGCTGCTCGGTGACATCCACAGGTGTTTTCAATACCTGATGGAAAGCACCTGTATGAACCTCTGTTCTTCAGAGTGGTAGTCTTTAAGGGGTTGAATAATTGTGGCAATGAAGAAACCACATAAGAACCATTTACTACTGTATTACATAAACAATTGATGTCATTTTAGTTGCATTTGGGTATTTACAACGTCCTTGTAGGATTTGATTCTGAATACAATTCCAAATGTACACTATAGTCCCTAAACCCCTTTACAGCATTGGGGGTTGAATAATTTTGGACACAATGTATATAATATATATATATAATCTCTCTATATCTTCAAGGACCCTATTGGACATTTGTGGATGGTCTTTTATGCAGTTTCATTTTTTCAGACCCATATCCTTCAATTATTTATACCAGCTTTACTCCTATTTGCACCAGGTGTTCATAGAGCAATCCTTTTTGAAGGTGTCTTTGGGGAACAGGAATCAAAAGGAACCTTGTTTTGTGCCAACATTTCATACATTCGACGGTAGTTTAGGCAAAATAACCCCCCAAGTTAGCCAGCTGATGAAATGTAAACTGCCGAAACCCCTTTTGTGGGTGAGCATTGAAGCGATAGAAATGGATCACCCTCAGGATAGGTAATACCCTATGGCTCCTCAAAACATGTATCTAGAATACACAAGCTATTCACTCAGAGTTTTGGACTCAACTGTGTACTCAACTGCTTCATATCACCTCC